ATATATATATAGACACCTACAGTCTATGGACAACACACGAGAAGCACACGCTATTCAACGTTACTGGAGCTCACTATGAACATCCATTGTTGTGGTGAATTGATTTAAAAACGCTTTGCTTACCATCGTTTATATATTGCGCGTGTAATACTGAGAGACGGAACAACGTGTTGATAGTTTTGAGAAGCTAGCTAGCTAGCACATCAGTTAGAACAGAGAAGTCTGTCTCGAGCCTCGAGTTTCAAACATGCGTTGCCGTAGCAACACGAGCACGTGGCTATTGTGTGGTCAGATACCTCGGTGGGGGGGGGGTATTTAGGGACAGTGTACAATAAATGCATTGCACCAGATGTAAACACAATGCTAGATCCATCTGTTGTCCCTGGGAGCTTTGACTAGTTAATTGATTTGACAGGGTACTGTGTGTATTAGAGGGCAAGAATGCACTAAAATAACTTTTGTACAATTAAGTCAATATCTACAGATACAAAACGTGAATAAGACTTGAAATGATGGTGACACCCAAGGACATAGTTGGGAGTTGGTCTGTTGATAGCTTTAAGAATTAATTTAATTGTAACCATAAATCAAAAAACTAAATTATCCAATGTTTAATAACTGCATTTAGACACAGTTAGACGTTGGATGGTCGCTCACATTTCAAATAGGAAACTAGTTTTCTGGTGCTGATGATTTAATGTTACACACAGATATATGAAGGGTGACTGTTGTCTTGTGGGGCTGCACTGATATAGGCTCGTAACTTTTATATAACAGAATGAACATTTTTAAATATCCATGACTGTTATCCCCCCCCCCAATTTATAAGGTATACATGTTTCAGAAAGAATAAATCATCTCTTGTTATCCTACTAAAAACAGCTTGTTTTGTTAAGAGCTACGAAAACCGAGAATATCAGGAAAAAGTGGTTTTGATGTGCATAAAAGTCAAGGCACACCCTAATCTTTAGTTTGCAGAGAAAATATGTATCTCACAAAGTTCAAGGTTAATTTATTGTCATTGCACAACGAAATGCATTTGTAGGCCTATTTCACGACACAAGAAAAACACACAGAAACCCCAAATTATATTATACATGGAGGATGAATTAAGGGGTCTCACAGCCTGAGGAAAGAAGCTGCTCATTAGTCGGTGGTGCAGCTGACTTTATTTCTTGCAAGATGGCAGCAGGGTGAACAGGTGGCTAGGGACGTCTTTTAATATCATGTGGTTAAATACCACTACATGAAATACAATAACTTAGTTACTATTAATACTGAATAATATGAATCAAATGCATCTCGAATGTGTAAATACCACTTCACCTCATTTTTCCTTATTCAGGCACAGTCTATAGGAGGGTAAATACAACTGTTGAGCCTCTTCACAAGGAGATCAGGGGGAACTGGCCACGGCTCTCGGGACGGTCCAGACTGAAATATCTCATATACCGGATGGATTGGCACAACATTGTGTGCCGACATTCATGCTCCCCAGAGGATGGATCCTACTTACAGTTTGTATTGGACTGTATAAAATTGCAAAGTATTTACATTAGTTTCTGCTTCTCAGTATATGAATGAGGTAGACACAATGTTGAAAATCATTTGTTTAATATTTGGTATAATCAAATAACTAATTAAAAACAGGCAACTATGTACATTTCTGGAGTAAACTGCTTTCTTTGAAGTCCTTAAAGAAGTTTATGGTCAAACATTGAGCATGGGGGTGTCAATGAGGTCAGAGACGCCTTCTTGTTGAAATGGAGGCGGAGATAGACGGAGGGGACAAAAAACTGAAAAGCAGAGGCAACCATGACTAATACAAATATGATAGATATAAATAATATATATACACTGTATATGAAGTGAGATATAAACTACACTTACCATCAGAGGCTATAAGATTCTTCAGCAGATCTGCATTCATTATTGCTACAAAATGAGGGAAGACATACTTCTACATTAGTATACAGTCAAATAAACTGACATGAGAATCTAAAGAACATTAATAATTCAGAGACACAAGATACAACAAGGGCCCTACCTTTGGTCGGGCGTAGTAGGTCCTGCAGTTCTTTTGATAAATCTCGCACTGGAAAAAAACATCAATGTAAAAGCCCTCAGCAAAGACAGAAGCATGCATGAGGCATGAAGACACGATTGTGTCATCAAGGACATCATCAAGCACACAGACACTGCAGAACCAGACACCACCATGATATACAACTGATAAACTCATTCAATGAAGGAAGAGCTCCACGTCTGTCTTATCGCCGTCTCAGTTCAGATAGGGAGCACGAGTGAGCCAATTTACTAGGAAGTTCAAGCCAAAATAGAGTCTTCGGTTTCTATTTCAACGAAAACACACTTCAGAACTTGTACTAACTAAAGCACTCACATTCAGATGAAGCGGTTCTGTTCGGCTCGGCATTCGAACGTGACGACGGCTGAAGGTGCAGCATGTCCTCTATGAATGTCCTTCTAGATTTGGTGCCATGTTTGATATTAGCTGAAGCCTGACACGGCGCGATGCTGCCTTCGGTCTCGTCTGAAGTGGACATGGCTGATTTGGCACTCCGTAAAAGTTCTGCAGGCGGTGGGACTGGCAGCACGACAGGAACAGAGCTGACGGAGAGTTTGTTAAGAAGTACAACATCTATCGGTCCATTGATGCTTTTCAGATAGATCTGGTACTTTGCTGGGCAGTTCTGGACCTGAAAGAAGATTTATGCACATACGAAATCATCCCATCTGTATGAAAAGGAAGCAAAAAAACTACACTAGGTTCAATTGATGCAGAACTTACAGCTTTGGGAATGGGCACATCTAGCTGTGTGCCACATGGCGCTTGTACTGCCAAGAGAGTATTGCCTGAAAAAACAAAAAAGAGTGAAAATCCTTTCAAAGGACAATCATTTATTCTGGTCTGTACATGAAGAAATGTTAGTGGTTCTTTATGCCTCTACATGAACAAACTGAAACAATGTCAGCCGTTGTGGTGATGCAAGTGCCATCATTAACTCATACAGCTGTGTTGATATCACGCCAACTAGGAAAACATCCGTTGACTCTAAACAGCAATCTACTTTGACAATTCTACAACTTGAGCTGCAACGCTCCTGGAACACATCTCTAGATACTGCATAGAAATCATAGAGTAATAATAGTTTTTAACTCTGGATTTATCTCCCATGAGGACTTCATGAAAAGTCCACATATGTTGGTGTATATTTATATTTAACAAGTTGGAAGAGACTGTTGGTTTTTAATCTTGAATCTTTGGAGTTTTCTGACAGATGTATCAATCAGTGCAACTCAACAGCAGCGGAGATAAGGGAGGAAGACGTTTGCTGAGGAGACATTTGTCAAAAAGCAGGGCGTGCATGTAACTCTACTGACTCTCACCACCCCTCTGTTTGGATTATTTGCTGTATTAAAAAAATAAAATAAAAATATGCCGACACAAGAATGTACACAGAAAAAAAAACTGCAACTCACCGCTGAAGCAGTTGCAGATATCGTCATGATTCACATAGGTCAGAGTTGATTTGAGTCAAGGTTCAGTTTGAAATACCACATTATTTTCAGTTTTAACTCTACTGTTAAAGCAAGAAAACGTAACACATTTCAAACAAACGCGTAGATCGCAGCACTCGTTGCTATGTCTTTGTTCAAAGGATATTGGCTGCAGTCTTCTCTTGTGTTTCTGGTGCTCTGCTCAACCCAGAATTTCTGCTGGTCCAACATAATTTCCTTCCGCTCCAAGTCCTTCAGCTCCGCCCTCAGCGCCATCACTCTGTTGCTTACTCTGTATGCATTTTCTCCTGGCAATGTGCCACTTAAAGAAGAAGCAAAAAGCATATTTATATTGTAAAACATATATTTTGCACCACACTCTTTGACACACGCCCATATCCAGATGCATGCACACAGGGCAAAGTTAAAAACTTACTTCCACTTTACAATGCTCTTGGAGATTTTCACAATCACACCAACGCCCTCCAAAACATTTGTGATGTCGTAGATTCGCCTTTTCTCTCCGACAGCCAGGACCCTGATGGCCTGTAAGAAGGTAAAAACAGCCCACTGAGTTTTGTTTACTCTACGATCTGTGTCTCATCAAACACATTCACGGGTCAATTAAAGAAAACCCAATTAAGAGCCAACTGGAGCACTAAAAATACATTTAAAATACACATTTCTGACAAAGCATCCAAAAGCAACATTATACAAAGGGCTTATTTTCTGGTGCACATTGCAATCTCTTATTTAATTATCTTATTTGAAAGTGTTGTGTCATTTTATTCATTGTCCAAATACAATGAAACATCTCCAGTGATGAGATCGGTGTCTGTTGTACCGGTCTACGCTCACTTACGTCTCTCAGGTCCAGCACACCGCCTTCAGCTTCTTGTAACAAGCTGACAAACTTCGTGGCGAGCACAGTAAGGCTCCTCCGACTTCTCTGGTATTTGGGGTCTAGCGTGGTGGTCTCTCCGTCTGGACTATGTGGGCTACCTTCAAGATCCATTCTCCTGCACGTGAGAGCAGATCAAATGAGTCCCGGGAACCTCCGTGTTCTGTGATGTTTGAATCACCTGCAGAGAGCCCGCGACACACAAACAGAAATATTGTTCTTCAAAATAAATGTCTAATCTGGGTTTGAGCCACAATTTGTAGTTTTATATTGATTTGAATAACGTTACATCTTGGAAGGAACACTTTCTGGGTAAAACATTGTCACTGTACTTGTATATACTTTCATCACAGTTCGTTTATCTCCCACACAGATTTATCGTGAAAGGTTTGTACCGGAAACACCAACATTATTTGTATCTTTTCCCTCTTTCATCGCCAATACCACTGTTTATTGTTTATACAAAGTGATTCATGTATTGTGTCACGTTTTATTGTTCGAAAGCGCGCTTACACACGCATACGAACAGGCTGTCTACATGACCTCAGCACAAAGCGTGGAAGTTATGATAAATAACAGTTTTTAACTCACCTGGATGGTGTAACGGTAACGTTACAGAGTTGCTGCCGACGGTGCTAAGCTGACGTTAGCAGTCCAGACGACGTCAACTGATAGTATTTAAAGCAGACACTATAGATTTTAAATTGAGATTCACGTGGGCAGGTACGCGTATCCACAGTTTACATCCGATCTTAAGCCAAAGTCTACTGTCCCACTTTACTATTGGTGTCCCTCCCCCAAGGTTGTGGAGTTAGGCGCCTATTTTTTCGAGCAGCCTGCCTTCACAATAAAAGCCCACCATTTGAGCCACCACAATAAAATCCTCTCTCACTAAAATTATTACACAAGTTTGAAAGGGCACCCCGGAAGATATGTTAACTTAATTATTCATTTTATATGTATTCCACCTACTTTAAGCTTTAAAACTAGTCCAGTGACACTCAGAAGTTTGTTTGACATATTTGTGTTATTCTCAGATATTTTGCAATTAATTAAATGATCAAAACCATGCACTTAACCAGTGTTGTTTGGGGCCATTGCTCAGTTGGTAATCGAGGGAAGTGCTCCTAAACTCATTAGTTAAAGTAATTCTAAAGAACTGTTATTTGTTCTGATTTACTTTTTTAACTGATATAGTGATTGTATTTATTTCTCAATGTTTATCTTTTAAAATGTGTTTAAAGTGGTTTCTATCAATTTGTGTTTCAAAGTGTTTCTTTCTGTATATTCTGTTATATAAACTAGAGATGGCACATACATAATATATGCACTTCAATCCAAATTGCAATGTCTTTTGTTTAATTTGGCCTCAAATAGCCTGTTATGATAATGTTGCATTGCTTTAGTATGAGTATGTTGCTCTAGTTGTAGCGTAAATGTTTTCCATTAGAAGTTTATAGGGTGCACGGATTTTAATTACAAAGTGATGATGATAACTCAATAAACCTGCTTCAAACACGTCACACCTACACGTGCTTCGTTTGAGTCAGGCGCTGGTCACGTGACCCACAGTAGCAGTCATATGATGTTCCGGATAGTCCTGTATTGTGGATCAGCCGCTGAGCACGGTAGAGGAAATTGCTGCAAAGAAACCACGTCTTCGTTGTGTAGTTTGGGGTAGATTTCAAAGATGTTCGCGACTGGTTTGTTGGTGTGTTTACTGGCCGTGTTTCCGCTCGTCTCCCGGGCTCAGTACGCCCCTGATGAGGTGACCCACCTGCCCGGTATGTCGTTCAAACCGAACTATCGACAGTGGTCGGGTCACATCCAGGCACGACCCGGAAAGTTTCTCCACTATTGGTAAGAAACATCAACCGAATGCGGTTCCGCAATACGCCTCACTTAGTTCCTCTTCTGTTGAGCGCCAGGAGTGGAGGCATGTGGGACCTTTTCAGTTTGTCATGCGGTCTGTAACTAACCCTGGTCCTGGTCTCCTGCAGGTTTGTGACTTCTCAGAGGGACCCAGTCAAAGACCCTGTGGTGCTTTGGCTGAATGGAGGCCCAGGCTGCAGCTCGCTGGATGGGTTCCTGTCAGAGAATGGACCATTTCATGTGAGCGGGCTAACTTTGTGCACAAAACTATGCGCCCACTGAAATTAATATTACAATTGATGGAATTGGCATTGTTGAATTTCATTTTCAGGTGAACGACAATGGGGCCACACTGTATGAGAACACATTCAGCTGGAACAAGATTGCCAATGTGCTGTATCTAGAATCTCCAGCAGGAGTGGGATATTCCTACTCTGATGACAAGAAGTATGCCACCGATGATGACCAGGTGAGTTCAGGGACTGACTGGCTATAGCTTTGAAAATTATAGACATGATTAGAAAGTATTTTCCATTTCTCGTGTTCTTTTCTCAGGTTGCTGATGATAATTACAAAGCCCTGCAGAGTTTCTTTGCCAAGTTCCCAAATTTCACTCAAAATGAGTTCTTCATCTTTGGGGAAAGTTATGGTGGAATTTATGTGCCAACCCTCAGCCTGCGTGTGGCTGCTGGAGCTGCCAAAATCAACTTCAAGGTGAGATGCTTCATGCAAAGCAGCAGTGGTGGAATGTAACTAGAGTAGATTTCTTTCAATTTTGAGGTACTTACCCCAGTATTTTCATTCTCTGCAATTCTATACTCTTACATTTCAGAGGAAAATGTTGTATTTTTTTTAATCCTGTTTGTCTGATAACTTAATCAGTTACTATTTAGATAAATAATACAATGCATAATCACCAAATACATTCTGAAGTATTATGAGATCTGATTATTTGAATTCACAAGCTCTGTATAAAGTAATCAACTTTAGCCCCACCTTTCCCCGCTGCAGCATTAACACATCGATGAACACATTAATGTGTTAATAATAATAATTCAATGATTGTAAATGTGATGCTGAAATAGGCCATTCTGCATAATAAGACATTTGGTTCTTTAAGCATATGTTGATGGTCATACATTTCTACTTTTTTACATAAGTAAAACTTTGAATGTATGACTTGCAACAAAGTATTTCTACACATCACTCTGTTGTATTGCTACTTTTACTTAAGTAATGAAGTGGAATACTTCTTTACCTTCTGAGGTAAAGTTCTCTTGAGCCTCGGATGTTTTGCTCATCAGCACCATCCACTGCTCAGTATTAGTACCACCACCAGAATGCAGTTTCATGATTGTCGAGATGTTATTTTGTGAAACTCGGAAGATACTTTTGCAGTAAAGAAGACGTGTATTCTAAATGCCAACATCTATCCTGAATACACTTTTCTATTCAGGGCTTTTCAGTGGGAAATGGTCTCAGCAGCTATGCGCTCAATGACCAAGCCTTGATCTACTTTGGTTACTACCACGGCCTCTTTGGAGAAGAGTAAGTGGTTCTTTGCAATGCCAACAGAAGCTAGTGTGTTCCCCTGGTTCATTTAGCAATGATGCACGCCAGGTGCATAGCCTCCAGTTTGAAATGACTGACACTCCGTGGAACATTGGGACAAACATGAGGTTTCAAAACACAGAACTGAAAGAGCATAGTCATTTTCACAAGTCCCATTAAACACATGCCTTCTGATTGTAAATTACTTTTATATAAAAGGAAACTATCTGTAAGGAGGAACAGCAGAGTATTTTAATGTCTTCTTAAGGGTCATTTTCTTTGCTGAATGCTAGAAGTCCAAAGAAAAACACCACAATGTACTTTTGTAGTTCTAATTCTGACACAGAAATGAATGTAAATGATGGCGGGTCTCATGCTACTGGTTGACAAGAAGTTATGTGGATGCCGTTGTAAAGCTATGTTTTATGTGCAGTTTGTGGCGAGATCTGAACATAAATTGCTGTGACAAGGGGACCTGTAATTTCTACAACTCCAGCTCAAATCTCTGCAGTACGCTGGTACGTGTGCACTGTTGCTTTACAATTCAGCTGGGCATTTCTGGCGCTACCCGATGACTGAGATTTTACTTTGTCCTCGTTTCCCTTCAGGTCAATGTGGCCTTTGGTATTGTGTATAATAGCGGGCTTAATGAGTATGCCCTTTACTTGGATTGCGAGGGTGGCAGAAGATTCCACAGAGGCTACGAGAGGACCATGAGTCACCTGTTTAAGAACTACAGGAAACATCAACACACCCACAAGGTGAGTGCCGCTCGCCCATGCACCTGTGCTTTAAGTTATTGTCTTGTGGTGCTAATGATTGCTTTTTTTTTTTTTTTTTTTTTAATAAAGTTTTCAGATGGAGTGTCTCCCTTCGTGTCTCTGGGAGATGTCCCTCCCTGCATCAACAGTACGGCTCAGCTAAACTGGCTGAATAGAGGCGATGTGAGGAAAGCCTTGCACATTCCAGATGCACTGCCACCATGGGACATCTGCAGGTATGTTGCAGCTAAAGAATGCATGTGATGTCACTGATGCAATTAAAGGCAGCTGTGACTCCTTGTTGATAGTATTGTTCCCTGTGATTAATGTATAAACTACAAATTGTCTACGGAAAGATTAAAAAAAAAAAATGTATATATGGCAGTGGTTAATCCATAGCTGTCCAACATTGATGTCAAAGATTATTTTTTCTCAGTCTATAGACACAATAACCTGATCATCTCACCTCTCATTGTCACAGGAAGAATGCTCACACAGTTTGGTGCATTTGACTCTCAGTGAATCAATCATTTAGTCATAAAGTGTGCAGATCACAGTAAAACAAGACTAGGTGGCTCTGAGGCTGCACTTTGGCAGAGCTTTGAGCTAAATGCTAACATCAGTATGCTAACCTGTTAATTTTAAGAAGGTATGTTTCCTTTGGTTAGTCAAATAAACTCTAAACTAAAAAGTGCAACTGAGGCTGATGGGAATGTCATTAGTTTTGCAGATATTTGGTCATAAACCAAAGTATTGTACAAATTGAAATAATGACCTTTTTATAATGGAGCTAGATGAAAAGTCAAAGGATCGCCGAAGAGATTTCAATAAATCCTGAGTGGGACAATCATTTATTGATGTACCAAATTTCATGTCACTCCATCCACTATTTGAGAAGCTTCACTCCAAACGTAAACTTCACGGTGGCACCAGAGGACCTCTGCAGCTAGCATGGCTAAAGCATTCAGACTGTCGCTGCTGTTAACGTTTTAAGGCGACATATGCACATCCACCAGGTGCCTGAGCAAACGGAGATATTGTGGCAATAACACTGTTTACTGCTCCCAGTTATTTGTCACTGAGGCATTCCCCTCTTTTCTGTGTGGAATTGGGAACACGTCAACCATGATCATAATGTACTCTAAACCTTTTCTTCATGGATAGTAATGATGTTGGGGAGCAATACCGCAACCTGTACCTAACCGTGAAGGAGGTGTATCTGAAACTGCTCTCTCTGGGCCTGCGGGCGCTCGTCTACAACGGAGACACCGACATGGCCTGCAACTTCCTGGGAGACCAGTGGTTTGTGGAAGACCTCGGCCTGAAGGTAGGGACTTTCATTTTAGGAAAGATTTTTTTTATTTTAACTATAAGCAGATGCACTTCTTAATACTACTTTCAATGACTGTTCTCAGCCAACCACTCGGTACCAGGCCTGGCTTCACGATAAGCAGATTGCTGGTTTCTACCAGCAGTATGGAAACCTCACTTTCCTGACAGTCAAGGTAACCACCAGTGTGTCTTTAGTTTGTGCCACAAGAAGCATGGCTGTCCTGTTTCACATTGATGGTGTGGTGTGATTGCAGTGAAATCCCACTGTTCTCTGTTTCAGGGTGCAGGTCACATGGTTCCTCAGTGGGCTCCAGGTCCAGCCTTCCACATGTTCCAGTCTTTCGTCACTAATGGCTCCTACTGAGCCATGATGGGGGCTGCTGAATGTAATATACCGGCACTTATCACTTGTTGGAGTGTTCTCAGGGAAGAGGATTTTGAAGGGAAAGGGACTATTGGGGCACTTGTTTTCATCTATATTGTTCACACCTGCAGTGAAGTATGTTGAGTATTTGGAGGGAGACATATTTGTTCTTGGCTTTGCACCACATTATATATATGAAATTAAACTATTCAAGTGCCAGCATTGAGGAATTTAAATCCTTTTTAGACTGTCCATTTTTTTTTTTTTTTTTTTTTTTAGAGGACCACAAATGTGAATAAAATCACTTGATTCCTTTTTATTTTGGGGTTTTGTGCCTTAAGTCTGGTTTCAGCACCTGCTCAGTTGGTTGAGGTTCTGACTGATTTGGGCTGTTAACGTGACTCTATTTAGCCTTAAACTCCTTGGTGGCCTTGTCTTGTTTAAGATTATTTCACTGCATTGTCCTGAAACTTGATAACTACTTGTGCATTAAACAAGGTACAAGTCTTTTACAATTTAATGAAGGGAGAACCTTGCATAAAGTCGGTGCTTGACCTTTGTTTCATATTTTATAAAACGCTAAAACAGAATTTGTCTTTGTTCAAATACTTACACTGCACTTGATCAAATGAAGCGATTTTCTGTGGCACTGATGTAAAGATGTATCTAAAGCTGTATCCTGGTGTTTTTCATTGACATTTTAAGCAGAAGTGTGTGAGTGATAATATGTGATTGAACTTAAATGAAAGACTGTCTCAATCCAAACTGTAACTTTACTTGTATTTGTCTTTATTAAATGTTTTAAACTGCCAGCGACACATGACTCATCATATATTTATATTCACATGCCTTGATTGTAGTTAATTTATTGAGATATCAAAATTTCCATTAAAACATAGTAAATCATAAATGCACCTGGCATTCACTAATGACCACATTAACTATAGTCTGCAGCACCAAAAATAAGAAACGGTTCTTATTCCAACAAAGACATTTAAGTGAAATAAATCTGAGGCTGAAGTTGTTATACCTCACAAAGTGTTTTTTTTTTATCTCTAGCTTCTTTTCCTTTTCAAGTAAATGGTTTTTGGTTCAACAGTGTGACTAATACAATATAATTGCTTCAAATAATCCCTTTAAGTTTGTAAATAAAACCGTAAATCAAAAGGCTGCAGATAATCTCGAACTATAACATACGTAACATACCCAAAAATATTACATCACTATAAACCTTTTAACATTTTCCTGATTTTAATTCTGTCGGCTACATTTGAGCTTTGTTAGACTAATTGAAAATGACTGAATAATTGTTATGAGGATCATTAATTAGTGTTAAACAGATAAGGTCTTGAATATTGGGGCATAAAGCAACAAAGAAACTCACATTTTGGTCTTAGTTAAAAAAATAAGCAGCAAATAAATGATTTCTAACTTGAGCTTAAAACAGTCTGCAGTGGTGTGAATGGATTCAAGTAAATACAACTAGTGACTGTAGCCTGAGCACCGAGTCCAACTGTTTTCTGTCAATTACGCACAAACTGATTATGTAGGTTACATACATTTTTGCTTACATTCATTAACACCGTATCATTTTTCAACCCACTCTGCAGGGAATTGGGGTTTTCATATCCTGAATGTAGACACTCTGTTCATGGTTTGGGGAGGCACACTGCTGTGGTTTTCAGTCGGGCAGTTGACCGGTTTGCACAATGCACTAACTAATCTTATTAAAGGCCGGCGGGCTTAAGTGTATGTAACTTTGCACTTTCACAAAACGGCAAATATTTCCCCTCAAAGCCAAGTATAAAATCCTCATGATACTTCTACCTTATAGAACATAGAAGGAATCAACAAAACTAAAAAAATAAATAACTCAAATGCCTTCCTGAATTCATGTTCATAGTTAAACTATTGACTATCAAAGAATACAAAAATCAAGACTTCCCACCCTGCAGTTATCACATCACTCAATGATTCTGTGTCCTATGTGTGCAAACGTATCACTGAATTACATTTTCCATTAGAGAAGAGACTAAATTAATATGCGTACAAACCATCAACAGCGGCAACATAAAGTCTGGCCCTGGATTACACCTGGGAACCACAGCTCGTCATTTTCAATAAGAAACATTTACATGCAAGTTAAAATACACAAATTGGTACAATTTCATTATTAAAATCAATTTGATTGTAAGACCTTTGAATACAAAGTCCTTCAGCTCTTGTAAACAGAACAGGAATATGTTGCCCGTACAGGGTCCAGAGACAAACTGTTTCACTGTTAAAAGCACCATAAAAATATAAAACATGCAAATTAAACTACACAAAATAAAAGGCAAAGTGTCTGAAGTCATTTGGCATTGTGTCTCTGACTGCTACCTGACTGAATGAAGAGCTGTGGAGCTTTAACTCAGTACGGAGCAGGAATGTGACATGCTGCAGAGGATTCTTTAAAATGAGTGTCATGAAATGCTTCTCCTTCTTTATCAGTAGTTCAGAATAGCAGCACAGGACTAAGCCCCCTCCCCCCCCCTCTGTCTGAAACACCGCTGGCTCCGATAAAAGCCGTTCCTTTTAGCTGACGACGTCTTGATAGATGGAGTTAGTCGTGGTGAGGCCAAAGATGAATGCTCCAATCGTAACCATCGTAGCACCAAAGACCACCGATCCGTGCCAGCTGAAACAGAGAGACAAACATTAGAGAACAGTCCTGATCACGGAAGTAAGTTTTTGAGATGAACACTAAATCAAATGTCAGTAGTGTGAAAGGATCGCTCATAGTGCAGAATCAGTCTGCAGCATGATGCGTTTACATTTCTTTAAGGGCTGCAACTAACTTGTTTCATATTGGATTGATCTGCTGATTATTTTAACAATTAATCAAAACCCAACAATATTCAGTTCACATTTTCTATAAAACTGGAGCCGGAGAATATAAGGAACTACTGATGCAAGTTAGTTTAAAGCTGTAATTTGGTACGGTGAATCAAATGGTGATTTTAAACTGTATATGTTAAATGAACAAAATTAGGCATTTATTTGTATTTGCTTACTTGATTTATTATCAAAATAATTTCCGACTCATTTTCTAATCTTTTAATTGACTAATTGCTCTTTTAGCTCATTGTTTTGGTTTCCAGTGAACACGCTCCGATACACTGCACACTTCCTACTCAGCAGCAAACAGCAGACAGAGAGAAGTACCAAGTGGCTGGAGAACACACGCACAACAGACCGAAACAGAGCTACAAGCAGCGTGACTGGCTGACTTACATTTGTAAATGAATGATATGTTACTCTTTGTCGACTGAATGTCTATTTATAGTTGTTTGACTACAAGTGGGACGTAACAATATAAATTGGTTATATTGTGGGAGCTTGTTTTGAGGTTCTTTTCTAGACCCTAGTGTGATAATAATGCATCTTCAAGTTCTACTTCATTAATCCCTGTAAGGAAATGAATCCTCTGTGTTTGACCCATTCTAACTAAATAGTAGAAAAGGGCAGCAACAATGCAGCAACCCAACGACCATTAAAGAAGCATGCAAACGGCACACACAGAGGCTCCTCGTGGGGTTACATCCAAGGACCTTGTTGCCATGTTGCACAATAAAACTGAATCAATTTGGTTCCAAACTGAAAGACATGCAGGCATAAGCAATCTCACCTTGCAGTTCGGCTGTCAGTCTCTGACAGCTTGGCTTGCATCAGACACAAACCTGTTGAAGAGACATTGGACAAAGACATTTCAGTGTGACATTAATAACTGACAGAATTCTGAAACCTTGCAATCAACGAGGGAAATGTTACCCGGGAAGACAAAGATAAAGCAGGCCGCCAATCCTCCGATCAGCGAGATCACCCGACCAATATCTGGGATGAAGAGGGCGAGGACGAGCGTGACGACAAACCACACCAGCGTCTGCAGGATCCTCCTCCTCCGCTCACGACGCACACACACCTCCACCTGCTCGCCTTGGAAACGCAGCCACAGTCCTTCTATCACGGCCCTGGGAGGACACAAGAAAATGCTGCATTGACTGATTGGTAAAGAAAAAAAACACACACTAGAAATGCATTGATTGCATTCTGTGTCGCATCTGTCGCTGAGACACAGTATGCCAAACGAGGGAGACCAGAAGTGTGGAAATCTCACAAAACCTTACCTGCCACAGAAGTGTAAAATGGGGTAGGAGGTGATGACGCAGATGACAATGAAAGCTCTCGCGATGGCCACAGGGATATCATCAGAAGGGTACGACATCAACACATCCTGACTGACGTCGGAGCCAAACGTCAGGAAGCCACAGACACCTGATCAAACACGACAATCATTTAGGAATACACAGTAGTTGACTATTGATATCAGCATAACTTCAACTGACATTTACACACATTGAGACCAGTCACATGTTGAAGATCAGGAACTACTTCATATATCAGACCCACGAGACAAGAAAACCAATAAAGCGGATGGTTTACCGTGACTGTATCATTTTATCAAAATATTATTGACAGGCTGTTAGGTACATATTTGAGTGCACGCATTGACAATACCTGTTCCTGTGTAGACAAAGAGGCAGATTATCATGCTGAGAGTGACTACAACTCCCCAAGGTTTGAGCTCTTTTCTGCTCATGCTGTTGAACACCGGCACACAGCTGACGTGACACTGTAGAAAGAGACCAGGAGGAAGAAGGCAAGACAGAAATAATTCATCAATATCAAACTGTTTGAAACAATAGGCATATAGTTGTATTATCTCAAATGACACAAATGAAGAGGTACCTGGAAACCAAAGCAAATGGTGGGCATTGCATTGAAAACTGCGGTCCAGGAAGCAGAACTGTAACAGAGACAATGATTTAGCAACTCAAGCAAAGCATGGCGACGAGGATGCAGATGTTTCTGCTTGAATGAGTATGTGGACAGTGCCGAAGGAAGTAGTCAAACATTTTGGGAAAATAAAGTGTGTGCAGACTCACCTGACGGGAACGTGGCTCGGAGTCATATCTTTATCTGGCCAGATGTACTTGATGATGACCACGATGGTCACATACCAGGTCCCCATCACACTCAATGCACTACAGTGAAGAACAACAACCCAGACATGATCACCACGCAAGGTAAAACCTAAGAAAACATTAACCAATTGCAATCCTTGGTGAGAGAATAAGATGAGTAACAAAGCTTTGTACCTGGCATACTTCTGAAAGCCAATCTCTTTGGGGATGGAGAGAGGAAGAATAACCAGGACCGCAGTAACGGAGATGGTGAACTTGCGGTCAGTGTACCAGTGGCCACTGCCTGTACCATCTGTGTCATGAACCGCTGCTGCCACCACTGAAACAAAAAACAGGAATTACAAAAAAGGCAGAAGGAGGCAGTATGATGTAAGTAGAGAGTGTAATTGTAAAACGCAGTACACATGGAAGATATTTAGCTCAGCAGATAATTAAAGTCACAACCACTCCATTCATCTATTCATTCCTAAATAGGTGGAAGGTCGCAGTCTATTTCCAGAAACAGGCAGCAGTAGGATTTCTACACGGTCAGCGTCTCAGTGCGAGGATATGTAAGAGTGGGTCACATGTACTGAGAGAAAAAGCTGAGTGGTGTCGTCCTTGATGCTCTTTGCTCTCATCAACCCACTGCTACTACCAGACGTCTTCCTTTGTTCAAACACACAGGTCCCAGTTAAATGTCGGACAAAGTCCATGTAAACGTAGCCGTCGGAACAATAATACGTAACGACTATCACACAAAGCTGTGCTCGGAGAAATTACATCTTTTAACTCTCAGAGGATTAGGAAAATATAAACATGTAAATATATTTTCTAACCAATCTGATAACTTGACAGAGGGCAGCTTCCCTTTACCGTTGTGAATATACTTACAGCGATCCAGCTGGTCTCCAATGACAATGAAGAAAGCGATACAAGTCCCGAAGGTGTAGACAGCGATGGCGACTTCACACGCGATGCCCGTTACTTTCCCACAAGTGGCTCTGACGACCTCCTGATAGCTGCTTTCATTACTGACCTGAAGAGAGCAAACGGGTCATTCAAAAGGTGGACGTGGATTCAGCAGTAAATGTATTAGAATAGCCTTTTAGCTGTTTGGTCAATCTTGAGATGATTATGCATATTCATTTGGATTAGGGTGAACTTGAAGCCTTGAAGCGATGCTCCCGCCCGAGTAAATAATGCTTTCGGCAACCTGTGGCTTTTATGCAACGCTGAGTCAAGAAAACATTCCCCAGCAATGTTAAAACACCTCCAGGATCACACAGAATTCTGTCGTGTTAATCGTGTGCCCACAGTAGCTTGATTCAGATTTTCTTTGCTGACAAGTGTCACATAAAAAAGACGATCTTATCCCGAGTTAGCTCATGTGGTTTAAGATATGGCAACGTCATCTTTTAATGCAGTTGTACCACAGCATCCAAATAAGGTCTCAGATAAGTTGCATTTACTGGTGGATTTGTTCCTTTCATTCAATATATCCACAAGGTAAAAACTCCACAAGTAAAAGTAAGTAGGAGCCTCACTGCTGACTGTAATCGTCTGCGGTTTAAGGCGTGGTATAGAGTATAAAGTAATGGTTTTAATCTGTTGAGTACAATCAGTCAATCACACTCAGTCATGAAGTCATCTATTCTTATGGTACCACAGGATTTAGGACACATTACATCCTGCAGCTGAGTTTTGCAATTTAAAGCAATATTCTGCAGATGTTTCTCAGTTAAAACGGCTAAAATGTATTTAACAAACTCAAAGTTGACTGGACTCTTTCTCCATTGTGGTTCAACCTTTAAGCACAAGTGCTGAGCCAGCAGGAAGTGGAAGTCTGAGCTGTTGTGCAATACGCTTCAGGAATACAACCACAGAACAGTGTTGCACAAAGCCACCGAAGGAGAAATACTCATGAGAAAGAAAGGTAGTCAGATTTAGAAGGCTGGAGGACATGTTGGAGTAAATGAAAGAGAAACAAGTGGAACAGTAAGAGATGGAATTTAAGACTTCAGTGGCACATACCTGGCAGCAGTAGCCCAGAATCACCAGTCCACTGATTATGAAGATCAGCATAAACTGAGACAAAAAAACAGGAAGCAACATGTTATAGTTCCCGATGAATGTTGCCTATAGGCAGTTTTAAGTTGGTCACAAGAACTCAGACAATACATTCAGATGCTCAGCAGTTATCAGCTCTGACATTCACTCTGAGTATACCCCTCATGTAGGGCTGGGCAATACGTTGATATTATATATTATTATTTCGATGTCGTGATGGAGACGAGATCGTCTTCGACTTTGGAGATCTAAACATCGTAATATGACATAAGTTGTCTTCCCTGGTATGAAAGGCTGCATTACGGTAAATCTGTAATTTTGTGAATTTAAACTGTTCTGATATCTGCCTCTTCGTCCTTAAATCCACATTACTGATTGTTATTTATCACAAATCTTATTTTGTGAGAGCACCAATAGTCAACCCAACAATACTGTATCGATATCGATATTGAGGTATTTGGTCAGAACTACTGTGATAGTTGATCTTCTTCATATCGCCCAGCCCTAGCCTCGTGCAGTTGTGAAAGGGGCTTATGTGTCAGCACTATGTGTCCTCACTGGGATCTCCTCACCATCTGAAGCATGACTCCTGCAGTCACTCCTCCTGCCAAATTGAAGGCTGCGGGGAAATTGAGCAGACCTGCTCCCAGCGCTGCATTCACCACGATGAAGACCGCTGCCCAAGACGACACGCCCCCGCTCCCACTCCGTTCCGTCTCAAGATGCGGGACAGAATCCACGCTGGGGCTCTGCAAGAGCCACGCTCGTTCTCCAGAGTCGTTACTCCCAATGCCGCCCCAGTCCTCGGCATCCATGTTAATCGCCATGAGTCTACAGGCTGTAGCTCGGCCCTGCAAAGTCTTATGCAACCCAGACAATTTGTCTCCAACTCTCTGGATCCAAGAGGCTGAAATTCTGATCAGAAACGTCCAGTATCACCTTCAGTTATCACCAGTATGATGGTGGAACCAATCAGCAATCTGTAATGAAATATTGTTTGCATTTAGTTAAATACATTTTAAAAAATAGACACAGTGCTGATACAACATCAACATTTAAATGAATGTAATGTGGTTCTTTGTCTCTGTTTTTTGTCCTTCTCTTAATCTACAATTACAGTATAATTACTGTAACAGACTGTCTCGTGTTTGTCGTTTTGCTGTTGAAGATGATATGTCCCTTGAGGGTTGCCGTAGAGGAGGGGCAACTCTGGTCGAAGGGGGGAAAACATATATAATCATATGTGTCAAGGTAGGTAAACAAATTCTGACATGTTTCATGTTAGTGTCCACTTTGAGAGTACAGCAAAGTTTTGATGAGCCATTTTCTAAACTGTTTCTATCTTATCTTCTACGAACAAACACTCAATGAAGAACTTAGGACTAGAGATATGAGGTAATGAAGCACACCAGACCATGGCAGCTTTAGAGTTCATCTTCATCACTGCACACCAGCGGCTCGTAAGGGAGACTAACAGCCGCAAGTAAAGCAGCTAAACTATTTCCCAGTAATGATAGCTGACATCAACACTGATGTGCATTCAATCTTAACAATAAAACACAAGTGAAAGATGTCAAACCAGGTGAAGGTAATTCGATTATTCTTTCTTCGTTTTGCAGACTCTCACACGTATTTTATGCCACTTTATTTATTGACATAATCTGTAAGAAGTATCATGAAATACCAATAAAGACATTTTGGGCGATACTGTGCCGGTTGAATCTCTCATGAACTCGCTGATAAGTTTCAACAATGTCTACAGTAAATACAGGACAAATAGTCAAACATTAGTCAACAAGAAGAGGCTGCTGATGGTGCCGACCTCAGTTAAATGTACTGCTTTAGCTCCAGGAGATACTGGTTAAACAACATCTTTTAATGAGACTCGATCATTGCTTTGCTTTTCATTAACATAACAATAACATCTGTCAACGCAGTCAACCCCTTTGTTACTGTCCTGACGTACAATAGCTAGCTAGCAAACGTTACACCTAACCTCAGCTCAACACTAAATACAAATGAGCTACACTGTCACACGTACAGATGTATCTACATCACGTGATTTAGTCGCTGTTTATCGACGTGTAGAAGATTAAAAAGCTGATAATGAGTCACAGTACCTTCCGTTTCAGTCTCCAGGTAATAAATGAGCCGGTTGTGATTTGGGAGACTGTATGTACGATGCAGAGGGGCACGTGACGTGACACTTCGTCACCTGACTGGAATTCTGGGTCTTCTTCCTGTTGTGTGGAATTGTGGGTATTGTAGTTCTCTGTATTGACATTACGCCTTAATGACATAGGGGGGGAAATCCTTTTATTTTGTGTATGAACATTTTAAAGTTAATGTATATGAAGTCTCACGTGATGTTTTAGCAGTTAATACCATTAGTTAAATGTCTGATAGACAAGGACTTAATGCTACGCAACAATTCTGCATTATTACCTCATCTTCCAGCACCTGTTTTGTATACGGGACACGTGTCAAAATATAGGATCCCACAACTCAGAATGTCCCTGAGAACTCATGCAGTAGGTCTAATGCACCGTGAACATTATAGGCCCCTGTTCTCACAAACACCTCTAGTCACTGATAAATAGGAAGAAATCTATCAATGAAAAATCGTAATCATAACACGTGTTTAAGATCAGATGAGCATGACATGTATACCTAGATCGATAAAACTAACATACAGTATATTCAAAATAGTTAATTGAAATAAGCAAGATGTAGGCACATAGGCATGGAGAGGAGGGTAAACCGTAAGGAAAAGGATAACATTAACTGATCACAGAGTTAAAAAAAATGCACATTAGACCAGATCATTCTTCTATAACCATTTATTGTTTGTTCAATAAGGTACAAGTCCAAGGATCCATTATTTTATGACAGAATGCAAAACATGGAGGCGTAGTGCCAGAGGTTTCAGAAGTATGAGAATGCTGGGGGTGATGACCAGATTCATACACTGTACACATACACGTGATGAGCAGCAGGTGTTTAATTCTTCTCCAACTGTTCAAAGTTCAACAGGATCACTTACCCGACTCATTTCTATTAACCACACAAAGACTGCGTGATTAAAATAAAACAAATCTTAAAAACAGGGATTTGAATTTGGGGCTATGGTGGAATATAGAAAAGACTCAAAGTATCGATCGCTTAAGTTTAACAGTGTTTGGCTTGTGTGCTTGTTTGTATCAGGCATTAGAAAGGGACCGCTGCCCGGCTGCCACCTACTACATTGAAACCCAAAGATGGTTGAAAATACCACTGAAAAATTTGTGAATACAAAGGAGAACGACGGGGAAATCCCCAACGAAGATAAGGAGATTACTGGATGATTGATTAGTTCAGATGGACAACTGCAGATTAGAATGATGGTGAATTGATTCCCTGATTGACAAATAAACAGAATGTCGGTCTAATCTTGAAACTGTAACAGTGCCTTTCAACTTATAAAGTGCTACGACTCCACCATTATATATCGAAAAGGAAAAAAAGAAACAAAGGGCTCACATTTTCAACGGGCTTTCACGTAGCAACAGAAATCTCAACCTGTGCATAAAATGAATGCATAGTCTAACATTACCGCCATGTTGGTTTCTGGATGTTTTATAGTGAGTGGGCCCACTGCCGATGAACAGCACACAGTTAGGAGGAGACTAACACACAGCCAACAGTTGATTCAACATAATAAATAAGCAAAGATGATCCGTCAGTCGTGGGAGGAAATGTGTTTTTTTATAATTTGGAGAGTCTGCTCAGTGAAATGTTCAAAAAGAAAAAAGTGAATCAGAAATGTAATAGTTTGACAGCAACAAGTTGAACTCGTGATGAAATCCAATTAAGAAAATGTCTAACTAAACATAGAGCTCTTTTCTAGACGGTGGAATGGAGGAGCCAGAGAACGAGTGACGCGCGATGCTCCTCGTTAACGCTGCTGCTTTGTTTATGTCGCTCTCCCAGCAGGATCCACTCTACTTGGTGACCGCATGGATCCCGTGTGCCAGGTAGCCCACGTTCCCAGAGGTCACGCCTGCCATCGAAATTCTACCATCCTTGGTCATGTACACTGAAAACTCCTTTGTCAGGCGCTCAACCTGCAGGGAAAATAAATGAACACAACTCAGAATCCACATATGACAGTAAATTAACAAACATTCCCACTGAATGTAGCAGCCTACTGAAGATGAAAGCATGAACCCTGCTGAGTCATAACTCCCTCTGCATGATGAGGATTTCGTTGTTTTTTTATTCCGCGCTAGTGGAAGACTTTAGAGGGGCCCGAGAACAGCGCATTGGGGAACTCCATGTCCTTTTTGTAGGGCTCAGATGTGGAATTTTTGATCAACACAAATGAGTCCCTGTCCATCAAATTTAATTTAAACCAATGCAACACTGAGCCAGAGAGTTCAACACAGTTTTCCAGCATAACTAGTAATATGTCGTGGTTGGCCGTGTCAAATGTGATCCATTAATACCAAGACTTAAACTTTTCCTCTGTCTCTGTTTAAGGGAGTGTCATGTAAGATTGTAACAAGAACAGTCACAGTGCTGTTGTGAGGTCGAAAAATCCTGAATGGAAAACATTGAAACAATAGTTTAAGGCCACGAATGTGTTCAGCAGTTAGAAAACAGACATCTCAATGATTTTACTAAAAAAATGGGAGGTTTGATATGGCCTGTAATTGCTCCTTAGTGAGATTTTATATTGTTTTTTTCTATTAAGAGTAGCTTAAGAGCAGCAGTTTTCAGAGCCTGTGTGAAATAACCTGAGAGAAGAGAAGTGTCGACTATTTCCAGAAGAGGTGATGTCATGCACTTATCGAATGCAGCATGCAGCTTTATTGTCGCTTTGATCAATGTGTCATTTGACAAACATTAATACAATTATTTCAGTTCAATCAGGGACACTGAAATTGATTGTTTGTAATCACTGTGTGTGAGATGTTGAGAGAGAAAAGCAAACAGATGTTTAATTTTAATCAATACAGACTACAAGGTAATGAGTGTTTTTCTATATTTTAACCTTTTGAATAATAACTTTGAAGTACCTTGTTAGATTGATTTTCAATTTAACACCAGAACAAGTGCTCACATTCACAGGAATGTTTAAAAACAGCTTCCCTGACCGTTGCGTGAGGTAAAGAAGCTCCTCTAAGGCTCACTAATTCACACATTATATATTGAATGTTCAATCCCTACAAAAACGGCAGTGTAAAAATGACAGTTTGCCGGTTTACAGGAGGTTATGCATGGCATCATTTGATAAAGTACATTTCAATGATTAGGATATTGTTCCATCTTTCTCATATTGTCAACTATCACAGGCAAAAAAAAGTGTGTACCTGTTCGGGTTTGAGGCCTGTGAAGCAGAACATCCCGATCTGGTCGATGACGTGTTGCCAGTTGTGGGAGGAGCCCTCATTTTTCAGACCAGCCGCCAGCTGTTCTCTCATCTTAATGATGCGGTTAGCCATACCATGAACCTCCTCCAGCCTGGAACAAATGATGGCAGAGTCAGTTCAAGAAAGAGATTTTGGATTATATCCAATTGGTATATCCAAAACGTTTTTTTACAAATATCCAAACTACACGTTCGGTTCAGGTAATATCGGCGTATATTTGATCTATAAACATGTACCACAGTGAGCGCAGATCTGGTGTATTGAGAATGGTTGCTGCAATTCTAGCGCCGTTCATTGGTGGGTTGGAGTAAATGGGCCTGATGAGGATCTTAAGTTGAGACTCCACCCTCTTTGCCTCCTCCGTGTCGCTACACACCACAGTGAAGCCGCCCACGCGCTCACCTGTGAATATCAACACGCACAAAGTCAGGTCTGAGAAACTGTAAACCCGATCAATCAGGTTCAGTAATGAGGAGGAGCCGTCATGATGGGCAAAAGGCTAAAATTCCTCACTTAAATCAAAGAACAATACAATGAGGGACTGACTACATCTCTATAATAAATGTACCACGTGTTGCATTCTAGAACATTAAGGTTACACATGACAGTAAAACCAAAAGACAGGTGTTACCCGTTTGCAAAATGAGAGACAAGTAACTTTTATTATTTTCTTCAGATTTCAGTTCTCAAAATAAAATGTATCTGAACGATATCTCACCGTCAATGTGACTTAATACTACTAGATGTCACTGTGTTCACATTATGAAATATTGTTTTGGTGAAGAAACAAACCACTCACACTCTGATGACTGTTCACTAGATGACGGCTTCAGGGAATTTAACTAACCTGCCTCACATTGTAGTGTAACTATATTCAGTGCATTGAAAGTGTGAATGCTTATTTGAATAAATCCTGCTCTACCATCTACTTTTCTTTCCACTGGGTGGTGGTGGTAAAACACAAACGGTAATTTCAATAGATTCCGGTGAGAATGACATTATCACCTGTTTCATCTCATTTCTGCGCCGTTACCTCCAGATCATTTTCACTGATGTGCATTTAAGAGCATGTAGTGAATTCTGACTGACCATAGAGTCCCATATTCTTGGCGAAGGACTGGGACAGCAGGATGTTGTGGCCCTGCTCGATGAAGTAGCGCACAGCCCAGGCATCACGATCGATGTCTCCACTCGCAAAGCCCTGATAGGCCATGTCGAAAAACACGAGCAGGTTTCTTTTCTATATACGGGGTAAAAGAAAAAAAGGGAGGACACAGGAGAGAGATGCAGATACAGACCATTTGTTAATAATAATAATTCATGTGATAACAGTTTGATAAAAATACAGTTATTATCAAGTGTACATTTCACAGAGCTTCACTAAGATGATGCATACGCACCTTCGCGATGTCAGAAATCTCCTTCCACTGCTCAGGCTTGGGGTCCACACCAGTGGGGTTGTGGGCGCAAGCATGCAGCATGATCACACTGTGCTCCGGGATTTTCTTTGACATAAAAAGAAAAAAAGTTTTGGTTAGTCAACTTACAATATGCAAGTGTAATACAGACTCTCACTGCAGCAACTGATGCCAGACATACAACTGATAACAATATTGACTGATTAACAATGTGCTACCTAGCCAGCCAACTCCCCTCACAATATGTTTAATGCAAACAATGGAGACAAAAACATAAAAGTTCTTCCTGGTGGTTGTTACATAACTACAGAAGTAAAAATACACAAATGAAGAAATACACCACAGATACAGTAGGACTGTGAAAACCCTACCAGCCTCAATGGCCAATACCTTGATTCCTAATTAAACTGAAAACCAGAGAAAAACACGACTAAATTCTCCATCATTGTGTTTTGAATGCACTTGTGATTTCAGAGCATATGATAGGATGCAAAACTGGACTTATTCATTAAAATATTTTCCCGAAGGATCATGATGCAAGACAACCCTAAGGGGCTAATTATTAGAAAAATAATGTTTGAAAATGTTTCTTCACACACACATCCCTCACCCCCTCCTGACTAGTTCATAGTTAAAATCTTACAGAGATGTCATCGAGAGCTCCTTTGAAGTCAAAGCCGCAGCTGGACGGGTCGTAGTATCTGTATGCTTTGAGCTGCATGCCACCGTCTCTGAAGATGGGTGTGTGGTTTCCCCAGGACGGCTTAGGCAGGTACACGTCACGTGGACCTCCGTGGAATCGAGCCTGTGACAAAAGAAAGTCCTGGTAAGATAACCAGCCTGACCCAACGTTTTGTTGTGTGATGATGATCAATACAAGGAGGACCTCACCAAAAAGTTGGCTCCAATGCGCAGAGATCCAGTTCCTGAGATGGTCTGGACAGTGATGCTCTGTTTGGAGAAGAGACCTGCTGCACTGATTTTTTGACTTAAAACTGTCAGAACTGATTTGAACTAGATTTCATTTGGAGTAGTTAACACCCGTACTTACCCTATTCAAGACTTCATTATCAGCACCGAAAGCGAGTTGGGCGCAGGACTTGGAAAACTCCGCCAAACCACCAATGCCAAGGTACTCCTTATCCATCTGTTTGGTTGTGATAATAGCCTCTGCCTAAAGGGAGAGCGGGACAGTCAAAAAGGTATAAATCACAACTACTTAAATTTGCTTGACTGACATTCCCTGCCTCTGTGATTAAGTTAACATTTGTTAAGACACATCAAATGCATCCACACTTTCTCATGGTAATAAAGCAGAACAGACACCTAATGAAAATGTGAACCATCCATCTCACTTAACAAGAGAGTAGTGCGGCTCTCTTTGAGTTAATTATAAGAAATCAAGACTCAATGATATGACTGCTTTCAACACTTAAGTATAAGGGAAACCACTGAATTGCACAGGGAAAATAAAATCACTGTGTGCATATGTGTGACACTGAGAAAAACATGGCATTAGTAGATTCACTGGAGGAATTGGTGACAGTTAAACCTTGCGGACGCAGCTGAGCACAAAGGGCTTGCCCTTGTCATCCCTGTAGGCTCCGACTCCCAGGTTCATCTTCTTGGGGTTGGTGTCCCTCTTGAAGGCCTCGGACACCCCCAGGATGGGATCGGGGGGACCCATCTGCACTCCACCCCACCATGAGCTGTAAAGACACAAAATCAGATGAATAGTTATGTGGAGGCAAACATTAAAGAGAATCAAAAGTGAATATGTGCACACTGCACTGAAAAACAGCTATTCCCCTCATGAACACGAATGTATCCTTAAAGGTCATAAAGTGAGCTGCTTCTCAAGGTTTCACGGGCCTGATGCGACACCGGTCACACTAATGCGATGGCCGTATTGTGACACGCTGTGGGCCTAACGCTGGAGCTTAACTCCTCATGTGACCGGAGGATACCACACCGACGTAAAAGACTCATGAACGACACATGGTCAATGGGCAAGAGTTTCATGAAACAAACATAATCCAATTAGAAGGTGCAGAGTCCAAACACTAGAGTAACAGTTAATACGGGTCTAAAACACAAACATAAACTCTCTTGTTCACCAAGTCTATTCCCACCATAATACTTCCCCCAACAAGGCATTCTATGGTGAAAACAATCTGAAAATAATGCAAGAAAATGTGGTTATGAACAAGAATGTATTTCTTGGGCTGTTGGCAATATTTTCAATCTTTTTTTTTTAACTTTCATTTATCTGGCATATGGCTTGTTCATTTCTTAGTATTTAGAACCTATTTGTTTTATTCATTAGAGCAACAAAATGCAGTATTAAAGAGAAGTAATCAGAAACGCTATATTGAAAAGTACGTTTGCACATTCGAGAAATTGGGCTTGGTGATTGGGCTGTAAATATATAAATGGTCATGCGCTCTTACATCTTGACCTCAGACTGACAGTCTGCAGCACATCATGCTCATGACTATTGTAGGCTGTGTAAATGTATTAGATACACTTTATACCTTCAACATACCATAATGAAACGCATGAGAGTAAAGTTGACCACTCCAATCTAAATTGGGATGTTTTAAAATGCTTTTCTTTCTAACTAAATGTCCAGATGCACCTGTGTTGGTGTCAGGTCGAATGCAAACATTTCTACTTCTTTATAGTAAGCAACTACTGAACGAAACGCATACAAGTATATTAAATACATCTTAAAGCCTACATTACTAATACAAAATGCAGTAAAAAAAACACTGTGGTGAATTACTAGACACCACTTGTGTGTTGTAGGCTATAGACAAACAAATGTAATACATTATGTTACACATCGGCTTGATAACAGAGTTGTCGTGTGTTGCGACCTTAACTACACCGCTTCTCACATATTGTCTCAGGTTTCTCTACTTTATCAACCCTCTAAATGATGCAGCTAAATTTAGCACTGAACACTTTGCAAAGGGCAAGAGTTTCCAAACCCCTACTAATAATACATTGAAAAAAAAAAAGATCACATAGGTTTATTAAATAGTGACTACAGTACACTGACAAACATGTTTATTGCAAGAAAATCAAGTGTGAACTGGTTGGGGAGAAAAAAGTACAAGTCCAGCATTGCAACTGTAAACTTTAGTGTTTGCAACACTTTGCTCTAAATGAAAACCACCAAGACGAAGCTTAAAATACTCAGACTGTCAGAAAGGTATTACCGTCATTGTATTTAGCAGTTTGTGGTGCTGTTGCATGTAAATGCGCCGATCACAAATCTGCATTTTTCCTTTTGAAGTTTAAGATTTATACGATTTTCTTAAGTACAGTGACATGCAGAAAGCAGCAAACTGTGCGCAGATTCAACAAAGACTATGTATACGAATAAATAAGACAACAATTTGAATAAATGACAGCATGTCTGTGCAAAGGGGAAATTAACAGGAATAACAATTCAAGTGTAAACCTCTTAAATGCAGCAAAAAGACTTGAACAGGAATACAAAATCCAGTATATGATGAATATAGTATAAAAACATTGAATTGAATGGATCGGCCCCATTGTCACCAATACTTGATCCACCTATCGGAGTTAGTTTCAGCCTGATATCCAGTACCACTGCATCCCTATTTTCAACACAAACAAAACTGTACATTGAGACTCGTACTGCAAACAGCATTTGAGTTGTAATGTATCCACATTCACAGAGGAACTTTTGAACAGCTGAACTTCAGCGTTTGTATACACATTGATTGACAAGTTAGCAGAGATCAACAGACCAAAGTCCTTTTGACCAGCTACGGGGCAGCATTGCTGAGCTTAAAAGGTTAAACGTCTAACATTTCATAAAAAAGGTACAGGTGGGGCTATTGTCATTTATTTATTCTTTGAAACCAGACCAACATGCTTGGACGTGACATGACAGGATGAGACACACGCAGACAGGAATAAGGCTAGTTACTCCTCTTTTGGATAAAGAAGAAGAGACTGATCAAAGATCAAGAAACGTACGTCTACATTTACACACGCTATATGTTCAATATCTTATGCATGTATGTATGTGTATATATATATATATATAAAAGGCGCAGCATCAGATCTAAACGACTTTGCCCTCCAAACTGACTCTGAAAGGGCATCGGCGACTATCTCAGTTTCAAGGCTAGAAATTAGCCAATCGGCGATTAAAGCCGGAACAGTACAGCCAATCAGATCGCACGACTTCTCCAACTACGACAAGTCGCTTAGCTCAAACTGTGCGTGGGATTTGACGGCTAAAGCCATCGCGATCGTAAAAATCATGAAGAAAGGTGCCTTAGAACCAAGGAAAAGCAGAATAACAGCCACCTTACATGACATATCATATCATAAACAAGTTATTTTAACGAACCAAACCCAGCTGGGTTTATTATTTTCAGCTACACACCGGCGACGTCTTAACAGGAAGTTGGGCTGCTGACAAATCAACGTGACTTTCATCAGCAGCGAGCTTCACCGTTAGCACCAGCAAGTTACCCTCCGAGGTCAAGTTGGTGTTGATCGGAGAGTATGTCTAGCACAGCAGGTGTTGGACCTGCGAGATCATCAAGTCATAAAACCTACATATGGACATTAACGCTAGCACCAGGAGCTAACCTTAGATAGCACATCGGGGCCTATTGAAATCACTTGACCCCTGAATGTTAGCTTGCTAAGCTAGTACGGCTAAAGTAATCACAGAGCAACGAAGCTTGGACGTAAATGTGATGGCTGACAGAACCGTTGAGCTTAACATAACGGCTTGTCTGCTGTAAAACTAACGGGCACTCCGCTAGATCACCAAGTCAACTTTAAATTTAAACATTATGCCCGTTAGTTTTGAGCGCCTTATTGCTGTTTACCTGTTGCGGGTGGACAGGACTCCCAGGGACGGGGAGATGTTCCCCAGACAGTAGATCACCTTGTTGGTCTTGAGCAGGGCCATCGTTGAGCTGCGCTTTTGGAGCAGAGCCTCGTAGGATGTGGACGGATATGAAGGGCAGGCACGATGGCGATGCGACGCTCTGAGTACGCGCTGACGTCAGTGACAGACGCGTGAAACAGAGCTGAGATTATAATGTCACTGTTAATCCCTAGAGTAGTGTGGTGTAGAGAGGGCAGGAGAGGAAAAACACATAAATCCACATTCCATTACAATCTTTGTATTTTAGATTATTCAGATCAATCACCATTAACATTAGGAGCTGTCACTCACAGCAAAGAAAGGTCTCCGACCTCATGTGTCCAAAGCAAATACAAAATAGAGAAACACAGAGTAGAAATCACAGGAGAGAATGATCTACTGTAGAAAAGCTATGGGACACTTTAATGCAGAAATGATGCCAATCCCTGGCAGCTGCAGTTACCTGATTCTTCCACTTGAGGGCAATGTCACATAATAGACTTCAAAATACATCATGTATCATCTGCTTTTATAGCTGCTCCGTGCCTGTTAATCTGACAGTAGTCTTCACCCAGTTCACCATGGAGACGTTGATTATCTAATGCCAAGATGATACCCCACCTTCATTTAGGTCAGATTTAAATATTTTAAATGAAATGCTCAATTCTACCTGACCCACAGCAGAAACAGTGTTTTGACCTAAATACAACTGTAATTGCCCAGGCACTGTTTCCTTCATCCTCCCACCAGATGGAGTCCTTCCCTACATTTTACTCCACACAGCTCACAAGCTCTCACTGTTCCTTGTGTTGAAGCTTCACTATTATACAAGTTGACAAGAACAGCAAGCTCTCTTTCCCTCAGTCTGTGCAGAAGGGACATCGACCTGGAGTAACATCACACAGCAGAGCCTAGAAGTCCATGAAACATTTTCTTGCAACTAGACAGACTCACTGGCACCCCAACAGAGTGACAGAGCGGGACACATACTTGGCTTACATGAGGCTATATTGTCATGCAGCGTATGAAGGAGATATGAGCGTTTCCAACAAACCAATCATGCCAGAGACACATTCACACATGCAATGATTAAAAACAGTTATTTGTGGAACAGAGATGAAAACATACCCTTTAAAATTCCTATTGTACAGTAACATGAGTTGAGCTACGTGCCATGTTTCAGCCATTGTTTCCTTAAAAGTATCAGTTGTAGTAATATGGTTTTGCATCTCAATCATTCTACATTTGTCCTTTAACTACTCTGTGGAAAGAAACTGATGACAGCAAAATAACAAGAGCAATTGGAGGTTGAGGAACTGAGCAAACAGAGCTGAGCTGAAAGAAGCATTAAAATGAAAGAGCAGCAGAAAAAGAATTAAAACTGATAAGAGAGAAGTGTTACTGACAGTAATGCCGAGAAACGTCTCTCACAGATTAATTTATGGTTGAACAGGCCTCTTTAATGCCCATTGTGCAATATGTGTGTATGTGTGTGTGTATGTGTGTGTCCTCACTGTTATTGTTGCTACTCCTTATGAAAAAAAATCGACAACCCTTAATTTGGCCTTCTGTTTATATGAAGATTTTCCATTTTCATACACAGTAGGACATAAGTGAATGTCATTTCTCCACCCACTCATATGATAATATGACACTTGTATTCCATTCTCTCATATTTGCAAGATAAAATAAAATATATGCTAATCAGTAATCAGAAAAATCCCCCTCCTCTTCTTGTTGCAATTATACTTGTGCTTCAGATCATTTTTTAGGTTTTTAGAGTGTTTTTGGTTCAGTCTTGCACACCAGCTGTCCAGTGTGCGATGTGTATTTTATGACTGAGAGAACATCCAGTGCATTTACAGGAATTATCAATTCACAATAATGTCACAGAGAAATTAGGGCAACGGTCAAACTCAAGGGAATGTCCTCATGAATCACATTTTTTATTTACATTGAGAGAGTACCGTCACAGTGAGCATGAACGTCACTCAGGCTAAAACCAGTTGTACTTGACAGTGAACTGAAGATGAATATGGTGACTTTTACAACCACACAGTCTTAGTAAAGCACAGGTACTAATAACATTAACGATGGCTCCAGTCTAATAATCTACGACAGTGTGATACTATACCATGTGTTGTGGCAATTTATCAGTATATTCTTTTTAGATGTAACTTGTATCGCTTAACTCTGCATGCAGACAAACAAAGCCTCTGTCTGACTCGCTGTAATCTCAACCTGAAGGTTGTGAGAGCTCATACCCTCCGCTTTCCTCATAAAGGCAGAAACAGCAGCACCTGTCAAGGCCTGGGACCCGGCCTTGACATCTTAGCTCATTCCGAAAAGGGAGTACACTTGCGAAAGGGGGAGGGGCGACATAATGGTCAGCAGGAACAAGCAGTTACATTACATTACATTACAGTCATTTAGCAGACGCTTTTATCCAAAGCGACTTACAATAAGTGTATTCAACATAGGTATTCAAGAGAAGTACTAGTCACCAGAAGTCATAAGTGCATCTCCTTTTTTAATCAAGCATCTAAGAGCATAAACCAGAGCAAAAGTACAGTGCAGAAACAAACAAATACAATAAGTGCAACAAACCAATACGAATACAATGAGTGCAACAAACTAGTATGAATACAATAAGTGCTAAGTGGAAGTCTCAGGGTAGTACAGAAGAGGTGAGTTTTCAGCCTGCGCCGAAAGATGGGCAGCGACTCTGCTGTCCTGACGTCGGTGGGGAGTTCATTCCACCACTGTGGGGCCAGGACAGAAAACAGCCGTGACCGGGTCGATCGGCCGCAGGGACCTCTGAGCAACGGGTTCAGTTTGTGTGAAGCATATATTCTCTGCAAAAACTTTGACTTGTTATTAGACCTCCAAACCATCCTTCGGGAAAGAGCTCTGATCATTCAGCTGAATTATTCTAATTGTCTGTTCAGTATACATATACTTAAAGGCATTTGAGTTTTCTCATCACGTTTATTTCTCACAGGGAAATTACAAGTATTATTATTATTATAAATTCCCACCACACCATGACCCTGAAACTGAAGCAGCCAAATTGAATTGAGCCATCAGTCATTTCATTATTTCCAATTGTGGTTTTACTACTGTGAGTTGTCAACATGTCTTCAGTGAAAAAGGTTAATTGACATTTCCTTCTTTTATATTTGTTCCTCATAAGCAGAACATATTATACTTTTATCAGTCTAATTATCACAAAAGCAGATGTAATTCACAGCATTTCCTCAGTCAGCTATAAGTAAAAACACCTGCGATGTTGTTTCAGGGCCTTTAATAATACTGTTTGAGTTTTATGCAACTCTGCTTCTATGTTATCATGGGTTTGATTATACAACTCAGGGCCACCATGAAAATAAATCATCAAAACAAATGTTTTGCACAGGGGTTTACAAATATGCATTATCATTATAAATTGTACTGTAATAATGTCGTGACCCCATGTGTCTACATGGGGCTGAGTACCAAACAATAAATCCCAAATACAAATTGGATAATGTATCTTATTTGAGTGTTGAAATTGGATGTTGCAAAATAAATGCTTATTCCCTCTGAATGGTTTCACTGCTGACTGAGCTACTGATGAACATCCTTATAGTTAACATGCTGCATAAAAGAAACATGCAAATTATCTGTTTTGAGCTTCATAACAATCATATCAAGAAGTGATTAAACTGTCTGTGTGTGTGTGTGCGCGTGTGCAGCTGTACAGAGGGTCTCTCATCTGTCTGTTTCCCTTGCTTGTCTCATTGCGCTCACTGAGTAGGACTGATGTGTGTGAAGGAATCAGAGCGGATATAACTCTTTTTCCTTGTTGTCAGCAGTTAACAGTGTTTCACTGTGTGCCATTGTGTATTTCTGTGTATGGGTGTATTTGTATGCCCTCCTGTCTAACATTGAACATTCGCTGAAGGAGGTGAAGACAGTGTTATTTGTGTGTGTGTGTGTGTGTGTGTGGCTGCAGCGATGGTGGTGTGTGAAAGAGTTGTGCTTTAAAGATAGTGAGTTTAATTAAAGATGAAAGAGCATATCATTAATTGATGGAAGGTAGACTATTCCATGATGTCGAAGTATGGGGGTGTGTTCACTCTCTTTCCTAAAGAAAGAAATAGAAAATGTCCCTTTTTTGAGTAAACTAGTTGAGCATGTTTAAAAAAAAGTTATTTTTGTAATTTCAGTCATTTGTAAATGTATAATCTAAAGGTGTCATTAAGATATGATAAAGACAAACATAATCAGTACTATAGTGGAGAATATGTTTAATCTGGGGAGGTGAGGAGGCTCACATACACACATTTAGATGAGAAAGAGGCATATTTAAATAAAGTGTAAATCTTTGTTGTGTTTTCTAATGGCAGATTTGTGTAGAAAGAGTGAGACAATCATGCTGCTATATCTTTGTTGTCCCGAATCCCTCAGCTTGTCCTACTCTGCTCAATTCAACTCAAAGTGGCAGAGAAGCTCCGGAGACTCTCCTCTATAAAAAATGGAGCAGCAAAAGCTTTTTCTAGAACACACTTTCTGTTACCAGGAGATTAGAAAGTGAAGGTGGAGCACTCTGGAGAAAACACTTGCTCTGGGCATCTGTACTGGAGCTGTAATCTTCACCAGAACCACATAACTCTCCAAGTGGGGGAAAATTATTGTCTTTTACACGGCACCGTGGGAAAAGACTGAACAAACTCAGTCGAGGCCGCGGCACAGCTGAAGTGATCCTCCTGACAGCTGAGGTGTAACTGCACATTGTTTAGATGAAGATATGGTTATTTAATGCAAGAGAATCACTGGGACAAGAGTTGTTATCTTATATTTATTCATTCTCTCAATATCATTTTTGATAGAACAGTACAAGCCTCATCAAATATTATATTATATAAACAGAAATAAATAAATAAACAAACATGCTACAGGACGAACGCATTAATTTTCAATTCATTGGGAGAGAACCATATAGATATGAGATGAACATAAAAAAATGCATAATAAAAATGGGAAGTAAAATAAATAAAGACAGTATATTCCTGTAGTCATTGCTATGGCTATGTCACTGTGGAACTGCATTTTAAGATCCAAAAATAGAAATACAACTCAGAGGGGTA